GCTCTAGGGGGAATAACATCTCAACACAAAAGCTTCAAAGGTATTCTCAGAAAGCCCCCATGGCACATCCTTGGCACTAAGGATGTACATATTGTAAAGAGCACCTTTGTGTCTCTATTAACACAAGGGGTGTCCAAATAAGTTCTTCAAGCTACCAAAAGAGATTTGATTGCCTCCTCTTCTTATGGAACATCTTAGGCAGAAACTAAAAGCAAAGCCAAATGTGGGGTTTCTATTGGCATCGCTAATTTTTTTTCTTTTTGTTTCATTGACAAGGGCATAGAAAACAGCTCACTGTTATCCTTATGGTAAGAGGATTTTGTATGTGGCACAGTCCTTCAGGTTCTCCACTTTTTCTTTTCCCAGCCTCTGAGAAGCCACTTCTACAGAATTATCCCATGCCTTTGCTGAAACTCATCCTGTTGACGGGGATTGTTTCTTCAAATTATCAACCAGTCGTGTTCTACCCTCCATAGGTGCTGACAGACACCTCCCCCAGGCCCCCTAGTACCCCACCCCACACTGGGAATCACCAAGAAAATTTATAGCAAAGCAATTTCTCAAAGTTACTGCTGAAAATACTGACTAGATCTGGACTCTGGACCATAACTGGGATGATTTACCCAGAAAGCTGGCTGACTTTGACACTGAATTCAACATATTGTGAATCTAAATAGGCTGCAGTTCCTCAGTTCACTTACGAGAATGTCTTCTGGGACAGTGCCAGAAGCCTCTCCAAAGTCAAGACATATCACATCCAGTGCTGCTCCCGCCTAGCCACGAGGCGAGTTATCCTGTCAAAGAATGGAATCAAATTAGTTTGAAATTATTTGTCCTTAGTGAAACCTCAACAAACCCATTCCTGCCATTTATTTACAAATTTATAAATCTTTAGAGGATTAGAGAATAACTGGTCAGTAGCTTGCTCCTTAAGTTTTTCACAGAGAGATGTCAGGTCTGTAATTCTCTAGGTTTTTCTTTGTCACCACTTAGGTGATGTTGCCATGCTCTCTGCTCTCTTTAAGTCCCCTGGCAGCTCACATGTAGTCTGCAATGCTCCAGCACCCATCCCAAATTTCATATTTTTTCTTCTCATGCTTCAGGCTGTTGAAGAGCTCTTGATCCACTTTATTGATCTCTGCTTACACTCCCTTAATTTCTCTTGCAGCAGGATAGTTTCTTATTGGGACTATGACTCCTTTTATCAGTCCCCAGATCTCTTTTATCATTTAGGACATCTTTTCACAGATCCTGCCTATGATTTTTCTGAATTAATTTACATTTGATGTTTCGGTTTTTTGGAGTCTTAAGTACTTCAGATTAACTCATTTTACCAAGGTCTGGTATCCAGGTGCATTTTGAGGAGAAAAACAGACATCTGAACAGTTGTGCAGACATCTCAACACTTGTGTTAGAACCCACTGCAGAAGGCAAGGTAGCCTAGAGATCAAGCAAGGTTCTTGCTAACAGATCTCTTGGGGCAAACTGGAGTGAAATTACACTGAATGAGTGGTGTTTGTAAATATACACATGTAGGGTTTATTGTAGAACCATTTGGTTGCATTGTAAAACAGCCATTTTTGTTATTGCAATGTATCATAATATTGCAATACAATAGCATAAAAATACTGGTTAAGAAAATGGGTAAGAAAGAGAAGGAAAGGATAAGAGTAGAAATGCCACCTGTAGGCCTCACAATGAGACTTGGTTGTTGCAATTTTCATGTTTCTTGGTCAAAGTGATAGTTGTAGACTGGCTCCATCGTATGGTGGGGGACCTCCCAAACAAGTGGTGGGGAGAAATCCCCAAAACACATCTGCTGGGGTTATATTCACTCCAGTTCAGGTAGGAACACCCAGGTACCTCCCCTGGGGCAAGGTTTCAATTGGATGATGCAATGTCGTGGATCAATTCAGGAGTCTTTGACACCTTCTAAGACAATACACCCATAACAGCAGGAAGTTGAGTCCATTAGGGCCCATCAGCAGAGATGAAAACCTTCAGGCTATGTATGAATGTCCCGGTGCTTCCCCAGCTGGGGAGTTATCACAGCTGAGTTCACTTGAGTAAGGACAAAGAGACAGTACCCTCCTCACAGGGTTTGCCTCTTTCCTTGTCAGAAAAGAGCTGACACAGCATCTGGCAGAAGGGAGAGAGCTATTTCTGAAGTGACTTGGATGTTCCCACTCTGAGCTGGCAGCTTGTCTCAGAAAGCTGTGTGAAGGTGGCTGAGGCTGGATTGTTCACCTGCAGCTCGCCCCATGAGTGTTGGAGCCATCAGCATTCCAGTCTCTGTTCCAGTGTCACTAGTTGAATACATTTTTCTCCCCAGACCTGGGATGACTAGACAACAGTATCGCCCTTAAGTTCCTGTCCCAGTCCAAATTCCAGTTAGCAGGCATATTTGGGGAGGGGTGGACTTCCATGATCTCAGATGGACAAGGTTTCTTTGCAGTCTCCTAGAGTGGGCAGAAGTCCTCTGATAATTTTTGCAATGTTCAAGCCATTAACTTGAAACAATTTAACAGCTCCAGAGATGCAAAAATTTACTTCCATGTTGGGCTGTAGGTGAACAAATCCAGCTTCAGCCACCTTCATACAGCTTTCTCTGAGACAAGCTGCCAGCTCAGAGTGGGAACATCCACATCACTTCAGAAATAGCTCTCCCTTCAGCCAGATGCTGTGTCAGCCCTTTTCTGACATGGTGAAGCCAGCAGGAATCCCTTCAGTGGTCCCAGCCAAAATCACGACTGAGGGAGATAGCAGTGGCACTTGGTGCTATGCAAGGCCAGAGCTGTGCTGCCAAATGGCAAACTGCAGTTTTTAAGTGCTTGAAGTGCGGCATAGAGATGCTACAGAGAGAACTTTTTTCACCAGAGTCCTTTGTTCACACACCATAAAGCAATGAGTTAACGATCTGTTTTGTACTGGGACTGAATTTCTTTATTTTAATAAGGTGAGCTGTATTCATCGGTACTTCAGACTCCCACATCTTGCACCAAGAAACTACTCTGAGGTCCAAACTAGGGCCACCTAGTCATGAGTCGTATGCAGGAGACCAGAGCTATTCCTGCTGGCACCAGAGAGGAGGCAAGGTGTGGAAACCTCAATCTCCACTGCAACCACAAGCAGCTGCCTCTCTCATTGCCCAGTGTACACCCTGAGCCTGCAGCACACTGCAGGTCTAGCTCAGCTGGGGGCAGAGAGCCACCCACCAGCACTGCCTGCGCCGTGGGTGTGGGCTCACTGAGCACAGGCTGGGGCCATGGCTCCTCTGCCTCAGCTGAAGATGCTCAGCCCAGTCCCAATGTGCTGAAAGAAAACATAATGTGGAATAAATGTTCATCTACGCTTTTGCAGGAGATGGGGATATAGGTTTGTGCTACAACACTCAGCATAGAGTTTGAGGTGTTTTCTGAAGGAAAGCTAGACAGCTCCTGGAGTGCACAGGCAAGGTCCCTTTGAAAAACAAAACCCACCATTAACATCAGTAAGAAGGCCCTCAGCAGAATTACAAAGCACAATTGCTTCCCAAAGTAGCCAGTCTTGGGTTTCCTGGCAAACACTCCATATAAAACACTTGCTGTTAAGACTCCTGGTTCCTAAGCTGGCATTTTTTTAACCCATTTCCTATTCAAGGCGTTTTCCAAACTAAGGAAACTAAGTTTTCAAGGTATTTTGCCTGAAATGGCTTGTAAGGGCTGGGTGCTGAGAATTTAGAAGGTCAACATTCTGCATGTCAATTGTGTTAGTTACGTTACAGATAAGAGGAAAAAAGGTTGGAGGAGAAGGAAAAAATGGCAGTATCACTGTTGGAAGCAGAGGCAGAAACAAGCCCTTTTCAGTCCTTTTGGCTTGTGTACAGAATGGCAGCACTGCCAGGGAGAGGGTCTTGAGTACCCTCAAGGGAACCCTCTTGAGTACCCTCAAGGGAAGGCCTCTTCAGTACCTTATATCCACTCCTGAACCAGGAAGCATGGCCAAGCAATTGGTATTTTCTTTTTCAAAATAACCTTCTCCTGGTTTTAGTTAAGTCTTGGAGGACTCCAGAGATAACAACTACTGCTTGTCCCTTAGCCCCAGAACTTGTTACCCTTGGTAATACAAGGAAATTAACTTGGCTGGCCAGTCATTCTTGACAGATGCACACTGGCTGTCACACCTCTGCATTTCCTTCTTTGGTTGTTGAATTTGCACTGAAAGACTTAGCAGAGCTCTCTCTGACCACCTACAAACAATCCAGCCTGTGACTACCATACAAGCAGAAACCCTCCCCTGGGACTGCAATTGCCTTGCCTTCCATGTGCAATAAATGAGTTGGTTCCTTATTCATTGCAGAAGATTTACATGTGATCAAGTGAAACTATAGTGATGACAAAGCTGGTCAAATGCACTAGAAAGGATCAGTGTGTGGCCTCCTCTGCCATGGACCTGGTGCTGCAGCCTCTGATGAATTGCCCTTCCTTGTAGCCTAGAAAAACCTATGTTTTACAACAGCAGCAGCTTTCCAGCATGGCTTGTCACTCACCATCTTTGAGGATTAAAAGGTTTTGGACAACAGCTAGAAGATACTATTTCAGGCTCCCATGTAGCAAGGCATGACCTGCAAAGTATGAGGCCCCCATGTGAAAGGGAGCTGTGAGGACATGCAAGGTGCAGAGCCTGTCTCCTACCTGTGCTGTGGGGAGACTGTGCTACAGGATCCCACAGCTCACCTTCTACAATCATCTCTACACTCCTGCTGAAGCTTCACAGCCTTTCTAAGCAGGCTGGGCAGATTCAGACAGATGTCGTCAAACCACAGAGATGCACTCTGGAGCTTGTTTTAATTCAGCCTGGAAGCTACACACAGGGGAGAAACATCACAGACCTCCAAACCCAACCACCGTCTCTGCAAGGAGCAAAGTCCCCTTCGCTCTCCTACAGCACTGTAGGAATAACTGGAAATCAAGATTCAACAAGTAACCACCACAAGACACTGGAGCAAAAGTTATCTATTTTATTACAAAACCAAAACCAAACAGATGCCTTTCAGTTTAACAAATTTACCAGAGGCAGAAATGCGCGGGGGCAGGATAAGTTCAATATAAACTCAGGCCATGGAAAGCAGTGCCTTCACACAAATGAATCCCACTGAAATGCAGTTTCCTACAACACACTATGCCCCTGGAAGATCAGCAAGAAAGATTGATTTTTTTACTTCTGGCAGGACAAACAGATGACTTGCACTGTCAAGTCCTGGTTCTCTTCTCTGTCCCAGCCGTTTTCAGCCATCATTCAAAGCAGAGCTGGAGAGGCCCAGCAGGACTTGAAGGATGAGGAGACACATGCCCAGTGTCTGCTTTCAGAGAGAACACTGACACTCCCTGTGTCCCAGCTTCAGAAAGATGCTACTGATGCAAGGCAGAGCAGAAGATTGCTTACAACCACCAGACGAGGACGATTTGGCCTAGCAGCCAGGTGGAGTGACAATAAAACCGAGAGGGAAAACAGGCAGCTGAGGCACTGCTCTCATCTGACAAGTACAGGTTGTTGGACAGCTCACAGCATGGGCTATGTCAGTCAGAACCAGCATGGTCTGCACAATCCTCCGACACAAACCCAGAACAAGAAACCTGACCTCTGCTGGACATTACACAGTCATGCTGGTTGGGCCTTCCATGGCAGCGTGCAAGTGTTGCCAGAAGCTGCTCAGAGACCCACGCAAATTCAGCAAGTCAGGATGCAGGGACTTGGAACTGTCTTGTGACAGAGGAAAGCAATGTAATGCCTGGCCCCCAATCCATCCATAAAGTCAGCCCTAGCCTAGCAACAAAAATACCCACAAATACCAAAGTTAACCAACAGGCACCCTGTGTGTGCCTTCCTTGAAGAACTGACCCAATTTCAGTTGCAAACAACATGTGAATGCAGGCCTTTTGGAGGGGAAGGGCACAAGGATGAGAAAAAGGAGGTCAGCAGAAGGATTTATATAACAAGCAGGAGTGGTGACTGGCTGGTTTATTCCCAGAAGAAAATGCAGTGAGTTTTAGCAGCTCTGCAGTCCCCTCACAATCTTGTGGGGCATTTCCCAGCCCCAGTGCTTGGCTGAGAGAATTCCTAGAGACATCCAATTGTCTGTTTCTGCTGGATAGAACTATACATTAAAAAAAACCCCAACTGAACAAAGAAAAACCCCACCCACAAAAACCCCAAAATCTCCAAACCACCAAACACCATCCAACCTAGCAGACAGAACTTTTAATTCCTAAAACTAGAATATTAAAATGGAGAGGAGGTTTTTTTTATACAGTTGGTTTCATTCTTTACTCTCTACAATAGGATTAGTGAGTGTGGCATGGACATTTCTAACTATACACTAAACCAAATTATTTCAACACACAAAAGATGTGCCCAGGGCATTAAAACAAAACAAAACAACCCCCCAAAACAAACAAACAAAAAACCCCAAAAGAACAACATAAGAAGAAGCAATCAAGAAGGTGGGAGCTTGCAGGCCAAAAAAGCACATACATTGTATGTGAGAAACCATGAAGATCCAGCAGCATGATCTGCTCTTGCTAAAGAGATTACTTTGCTATATTATGATAGTATGATGTATATTTCAGATATTACCAGAAGTGTTTTTAACCGTGCCATATGTTTTAATTAGCTCCAAAATACTTCCCAGAGGAAGAGTTATTACTACTCTTAAACAGTTATTTATAGAAAGGCTTGTTAGTTTTTCTTTTATTTAACTTTCAATTTTGTCAACAAGCACTAACTTACTGCATCAGGACACTTTATTTTGGTGATGTATTTATCTCATGCTATTGCCACAATGACATGACAGAGTGAAGGTGCTGCATTGTATCATCTTTTACCAAAACAACAGAGCCTTGAAGGATGAGTCCAGTCTCTACAGTTACCTATTGCTGTTACAAGTAATTGTTGGTGTGATCTCATATTAGCACGTCATTTCATCACCTTCACTACAGTTTCTTCTAACAGGTTCTTGGTCCAGAGATAAGTGGCAGAAGGATCTCGAGGTCAGAAGTGGGAGGCTGCTCAGAACAGGCGAGTGTTGCCAGTGGTTGGAAATACACAAAGCAAAACTCTGCGTGTCTCACCACACTCTGCCCAAATCTAGGATTGCTGATATGGGCACCCCTGCCAAAGAAACAACTCTACTAAAACTGCTAGTGCTTGACACAGCTCCTGTGGCCTCCAAGAGCACCAGACTCCTCTCTCCAAGCCTTCACTGTCACTGCTAGTCACACCCCAGTGTCACAGCACCCAGGAGGTACTGGCAACAGCAAGTCAGACAAAGTGGGCAGGCACACCACTGTGCAGGAGGAGAGCTTGGATTCACAGCCACCAAGGACAAGAAAGCCACTGCTGACAGACCTTCACCAGTGAGCATGGCCCAAGCTGTACTGCTGAAACATAAGTAAAGCAGACTCCTGGGGACAGCAGCAACTGTGTCTGTCTGCACTGACAAGTATGTCCTTTGCTCTTCAGCAAAGCACAACACAGGCTAATGCTGCTTTTAGCAGGCTTCTCCAAATGTTTATTGCTGTACAACATACAGATGAACACTTTGTCAGAGCAGAAGATGCAAGACTTCACTCCACTGACTCTACTAGGCCTATGGCTCCCACATCCTTCTTACAGCTTTAGATTCCAGAGGCACGGAGCATCTTTGCTAAGCATGTTATCTGAGCATGAATAGCAATGCATTTGTATTTAATTTCTGCCTAACTTGCAGCAGGTGCACACACTACTGTTGTACATCCCTAACAGAACCCTTTTCTATCCCTACTTTAAGCAGTTTTGCAGTGCACCAATACTTACATGAAATCTGTGCTCTCAATTGCCCAGCCCAATTGCCTGGGTTGCAGAGAGCTTTATGGTAAAAAAAGGGGTTCAGCTGCTCTCAAGAAGCATTTGGTATCTGAGGCACTGTGTGCACATCTGCAAGAATTCATGCTGGTACACTGGCTCCTTCCTGCATGGAGGTGCTGTTAAGGCTCACCACTGAATGATGGTTTGGTGGCAGAAATGAATGCATTACTCTAATCCATTAAATGCAAAGTGTCCCTCTAACCCTAACAGCCTTCAAAAGCAAAGGGAGGAACAGAACAGTGACTCCAACCCCTGTACAAGACAACTGTACAATTTACATATATATTTATATACAGTATATAAAATTCTTTGAGTTCCAGTGAACTCAATTTTACATCATCAGTAGCTGTTCCAATTTTAAAAAGTCATGATCCTGCTTCCCTCCACTTTCCAAAGTATTAGATAATGGCATTGAAAAGCAATTAAAAAAAATCCAAACCAATTTTTTAAAAGTGCAAACGTTCTGGGTGCCACTTCTGCTACGCTGGATGTTGCTGATGCTGCGTGCTTGCTCACAAGCAGCAAGGTGTCTGTCCGTCTGTCACTGGATCTCTTCTTCCTTTGGGTCAGCTCCTGCCTTCCCTTCTTGTCTTCTGCTGCTACACCAGGCGACCTACTGAAAGAGTAGGGTGGGGTGGGCAAGGAGGGAAAAACAGAACAGAAGCAGAACAAGTAAGGGAAAAAGGCAAATTAAAACAAAAAGAAACCTGACTGATAAAGATCCAGTATAGCCTCTGCTGAAGCCACGGTCCCAGAAAGCTGAGATCCCAGAATAAGCTGTGAGGCTGAAAACAACCAGGGGCTAAGGAGACAGCCTTGCTGGAAAAAGCACTGAATGAGTCACATGGAGCCTCAGGGACTGACATATTTTTAAACACAAAACACCACTTTCCTCCCCCTCCTTGGAAATGGGCATGCAGTCCAGGGAAACAACTGGTCCAACATCCCTTGCTCTGCTCTTCTGCCTGGCACAGCTGATGCAGAAACCCACTGCTGCCAGGCTGCCCTGCCACCATCTCCCCATCAGCCAGAGCCAGCTGCCTCCTTCCCTAGCAGACAAGCAGGTCTTGGAGGAGACCTTTCTTCAGAAAGCTTTTGTTAAGCCCCTCACCAAAGGTTCTTAAAGAACCAAAGCTCTTATGGGATCAGAGCTAGAGCTCTGTCGATTAATTACAGGTGAAAACCTGCTACAGAGAAAGCAAAAGTAGGGATTTGAGGGGAAAAGGTTACCTCACTGGGAGGAAAGGCCTCAGTGAGATCAGTGCTGATCAACATGCCCTGTCACAGGGGGGCAAACATTGTCAAATGCAAAATTATTTCAGGTAGCCATATATGCAATCAATTGCACAGCTCTGCAAAAGGCGCCTGCAGCGCTCAATGACCAGCTCATAAAAACAACAGATTGTTTTCCATGTCTGTAAGTGCAGTGTAGTGTGGGAGTGCAGATGATCTGTCCTACACTGAGCACTCTGAGTGACAAGGAAGGGGCTGGAGCTACAGCAGTTGTTCAAATGCCTCTGCTCAGCTTTTAGCAAGTACATACTCAGAGTGAAGGACGCACCAGGAAACATCATATTTTCAATGTACAAGGTGTAGCTGATCTTTATCTTCAGTTCTCTGTTCAGCCCATCTCACCAGGACCAGACAATACATTCCCCAGAAAGACAAGGAGCATAGCAAGAGGTATAGGAAGACTTCTGGCATTAAACAAATACACAGCCTGGGTCTCCTCAACACAAAAAGGAGCCTAGCCAGACATATGTAGGACAGCTATAGAACAAATGGCAGAAGATGTAGGCAGGGGAGAACTTCTCACTGCTTCTTACAGTCCAAAATGAGAAGTACCCAACAAAACCATGAGGCAGCAAGTCTAAAAGCAAAGCAAATGATGTTATTGTTCATGCCTGATGAAAGGGTCCATGTGATTCAATGCCCAAAATACAGGGGAGAGCAGACCTTTACCATGACAGAGAACAGTCTTCATGGGAACTTGTCCGTGGAGTAATGGAATGTAAACACAACGAATCACCTAAATTACTGTTTGATAGAAGAAGGAAGAGTAGGATAGGAGTCATCCCACAGCTGCTTTATCCCATTCTAATTCCTTAGCCACATGTAGTCTGTTCCAGCAAAAGACATAGAGCTGGACTTTGAAATGATGCAATGGAGCTGCACATTGGTGTATTTATACCTCTTAAGAACAACTTTTGTTTCCAGCTGTTTCTATATTGTTGTTCATGAACATAGGAGGACAGGGGAGAATTAATTCTGCAATACATGTTTATCACAGGAAAAAATAAAACATTTTGACAAGATACTCACTGAAAGGGTTAAGGCCTTGTCTTTTTCCATTGGGCAAACTGCTCAGGCTACCTGTAAAATCCAAGAACCACATTAAAGGAAGTAAATGCCATGGCATGACAAAGGAGCCTTCCCTTGTCTGTTGCCAGAGAGCAGGTTCAAAGCACCCACTCTGAGCATGCTCACAGCAAGTCCTGCCAACAGGATTCACATGCAAGAGTCTAACCAGTGTGCCTGAGATGAGAGATGTTAAACACCTGGTGGTGTAGTAGCGGAGTATCATGAAATCCAGAGGTTTCGCATGGGCAAGAAACAACAATTACAAGGTTAAACTGAGGAGTGGAAGGAAAAAGAAGAAAGGAAGGATGCAAGTAGTATCCTGAAGTTTTCCCAAGCAAGCAAAATAAAGGCACGTAGAAAGAGGGAAGCGAGAAGAGAGTGAAGGTACAGGCAATACAGACAGCCCAGGTTTATTAAATCTTTCACTTGAATCAAACAAACAAGTGCCTAAAATCAAAGACCTGAACTTATACCTGGCAGAAGGGCAGAGCTGTGACTGTGTCATGAGATAACAGGCACACGTACCCTACACCAGATGGAGCTCATGGCAAGGGCCTCTGCACTGGGTACAGCCAGCTCAGGGATTACAGGAGCTGTCGAAAGCATGTCACACTCCCTGCTTTGTCTGATGTCAGAGGAGGGCTTAGCTGAAAATGGGAGCTCCTGCTCCCAGCCAGCAGCAGTTGCCATCCTCCACTCCATGACTTTGATTTGTGCATGCACATGGCCTGACTGCACAGCTCGCTCTGCACATCAAGTACTCTACTGCACATGCTGCTCTGCGCAGGAACAAGATGGGCAGAAGCTCAGAGGGCAGGACCGAGGTGTAGGAAGCCCCAGGGGCCAGGAGGCTGGGCTGTACAATAGGAATAGAGCTGCTGAGAAGAAAAAGCTAGAGGGAAAAAGGTGTCAGTGGCCAAGGCTGAAATGGGTCACAAAGCACAGCCTGTTGGCTTTAGAGAACATTAATAAGAAACTGTGTAAGCACAGGAGGTTATTCCAAGGCCCCGAACACCCAGTAGCAGCCACCTGCCCTGCCAGGATCAGCAGAACCGCGGCTCGCTGATGCCTGGTGTCAAACGCGGCTCTGCTGCCATGGGCAAAGGTTCCACTGCCAGGCCAGAGGATCTGCCTGGCCTGACTGGCACTCACAGCCTGGGCCCTTCATGGGAGGCTGCCAGGGCCCCGCAGGGCATCAGTGCCCTGGCTGGCAGCCTGGGGAAGCGAGAGGGCATCCGAAAGAACCCTCTCGCCTTTACCACGCAGTGCAGGTAAGCCTGCAGCACAGTGCTGTGCAAGAGCACAACCCATCCTTGGAAAGAGCTGAGTGAGCACTGCCTGTCTTTGGAGAGGGGCGGGCAGCTCCAGGCCGGTGTGTTCAGAAGGCAGGAGCATCCCTCCATGCCACGGCCGGTATGCTCGAGCACATGGCCCATGCAGCCGTGTGGGAAACGCGCTGGGGCTCATCCCCTGCTACTCTGGGGGCAGACAGCACCGCCCTCAGCTGCCTGCCGGCCCTACAAACCAGGCCAGCCATGGGTACCTGTCGAAGGCAAAACCCTGCCACAACAACACCGCACTGCTGACACAAAGGAGAGGAAGGAATATGGCAGGCGGTGACCGTGGGTTACTAACATACAGCTGGGAAGCCCTTGGGCATTGTGGGGTGACATCCCCTCATTTGGCAAGTTTCATAAAGGCTGAGTATTTGCTCATCCTCACAATTACACTCTCTTGGATAACAGTTCTAGTCACATTGGATTAGGCCAGGTGTCTTTCAAAAGAAAAAGTCCCAAGGAAACCCCAGCAGCTTTTAATAGGAAATCATTATTCTTCAGACATACTGAGCAAACCTTTCACCTTCTGGGGAGAGAAACAGCCTTATCTTGTGTTCTCAACACAATACTGGTGTCCTGATTCATATTATCACTTACTTTTGTCAAGATTAAAGGCAAATTATAGCACCTCTATAAAGCTCCAAAGGGGAGTATCTTAACAAGACAAACAAAACCAAGCACTGAACCAGTGCACCTCCTTTAAATCTAATCTAATAGCACATAAACGTACTTTGAAATTTCTTTTTAATTCAGTCATTACCTGGTTACAGTTTTCTCATGGCCACTCAGATTGTTATTTTCTATCATCACTGGTACAGAGGACTTTCCCAGGTGACTGCTTTTTGCTATCTTCTCTCACACAACAGCTTGTACAGTAATGATATAGAGCAAATCATTCCCAGCCTCCCAAGCATGCAGTTACTTCTGAAGATAGCAATAAGAAAGGTACAAAACATCACTGAATGAAATCTGCTGTTCAGATTGCCTGTCTACTTTTCTTCTTTCTGTAACATTTCCTCAGATTCAGTAGAAAGTGACATTCTGTTTAATTACACACACATACACTTTTTAATTAAGATATTTCGATCCTTTTTCTGGACTGGTGGCTGGGTTCCACCTCAGATGTCCTCATGTCCTGTGAAGCGCGCCCAACACCCACCATCTGACAAGCTCTTGGATAGCAAAGCAATCACAGGATCTGAGCTGGCAGAAGGGAACTTCCCGTCAGCTGGCAGAGGGACATTTCTTTGCTGCTTATTCCCTTAGCTCCTCTTTGGGCAGGCACAAAATGCTGACTTTGTCTCCTGAACTTGGAAGAATATAAGGTAAAACTCAACTCCAACATTTTGCAGCCAGCACAACTAGCACAAGCCTCACTCAGATCTACAGCCTTCCTCTCCAGCATCACTGGACTCCAATTAATCTCAGGTCCAGTAGCTTTCCAGCAAAGCTTTACGATGTGTGCCTATCTCCTCTCAAGGATCCTGTCTTTTGACTAATGCAGAGAGATACTCTCTCTGCATTTGTTCTTTGATCACAGATGGTTCCCCCCTTAACTCAGGCTCTGCAGACTATGCTGAGGAATGCTAACTTTTAACAGGCTGTAAATCAGTCTGCTTTCCTTCCACAATTCCTCAAACAGACAATCTTAGATCAAGTGATGGCAAAGACTGTTTCTGGCATACTCCAAGCTGAAAGCCCTGCCTACCTGCTCTGCCCCAGTTTAAGAAGCCATTTGCAGGCTTCTGCAAACACTCAAAGGCTGACTCTTTTATGTGGCCACACCATTCTGAGATCCAAGAATAGCCTTTTTCCATGAAAATAGCCTCTGATAAAAACAAGTCTGGTTTAAACAGAGGGACAAGAGCTGTGCAAAGTGGCCACCAGACCTAGCAGATTTGCCAGCAGCTTTTTGGGTCCCCATAAGGATGGAAAAGGGAAGGGTTTCTGATAGACTGGGCAGCGAACTTCCTCACTTGAGAACCACTGGTTGGTAGTACCCACATATTAGGTAACCACAGGCATGAAGAGACTGCTGAGGAAGGGAAGACAGACACAATTATGTATCTTGAACAGATTTAATTCTAAGCTGGAAAGAGCTCAGTTTCAAGTATGTCCTTACAAATATCCCAGCTGAATCCCCACATATAAATCTTATCTGGACTCTTGAGATCCTGAGAAGCACATAACAGTAGTGTGTTATCTCTGCTCTAGGCTTCCTTTAAGCAGCTCTATTTCCACGTTTGGATGGAACTGGCCACCAGAAAAAAAAGCAAAGCAAAACACTGACAAAAATGCAGAACACATTTTTAATATCTGTTATTAATATCTGTTTTCTTCAGAATCCCAAATACTACAAAATTTGTATTAGGTTTTATTTTCAAAATTATTACAAATGTTCAATTTGCCTAGGAAGAGGCATACTCACCTGGAATTATGACCCACTTCAGTTTAGTCCTTATGCTACTGGACACCCAAACAGGATTTGGAAGATCTGATCTAAGTTCACTTGTAATGAAGTATATCAAGGGGAAATTATAACCTTCCTTGCTTCCCTCCAACCCCTCCTCATCCAAGCTAGACCGAAGAACCTTGCAAACAAAGCTTTTGTTGAAACAGAAACATTTCTATGAAAAGTTCTGTCTTCATCTGACTAGCAGTTTACAGCTGAAAGTACATAATTAAAAAGATTTCCAGCTAGCTCTTGGCCTGAACCCACAGTGACCTCAGCCCCAGCAGATCTTTGGAGACCATGGTACAGAGAAAGAAACAGACATCAAAATACAGGGACTGACTACATGCACCTATGATCCAGATAAAGGAAAGTTAGAGTAAGGGTAAGATGGCAGAATCATAGAATGGTTTGGGTTGGAAGGCACCTTAAAGTTAATCTTGTTCCAACCCCCCTGACATGGGCAAGGACACTTTTCACTAAACCAGGCTACTTAGAGCCCCCATCCAACCTGGCCTTGAACACTTCCAGTAATGAGGCATCCACAGCTTCTCTGGGCAACCCATTCCAGCTCTCGCCACCCTCACAGTAAAGAATTTTTTTCTCACACCTAAGCCAACTTTACTCTATTTTTGTTTGAAGTTATTTCCCTCTGTCCTGTCACTCTGTGCTCTTGTAAAAAGTCCCTCTCCCTCTTTCTTATAGGTTCCTTTCAGGTACTGGAAGGCCACAGTTAGGTCACCCCAAGCCTTGTCTTACAGGGTGAACAATCCCAGTTCTCTCAGCCTTTCCTCACAGCAGAGATGCTCTGACCCTCCAATCATCTTGGTGGCCTCCTCTGGAGTGACTCCAGCAGTTCCATGTCCTTTCTGTGCTGGCACCCCAGAGCTGATGCAGCCCTGCAGTGGGGTCTCAGCAGAGCAGAGCAGAGGGGCAGAATCCCCTCCCTCCCCTGCTGCCCACGCTGCTCTGGATGCAGCCCAGGACACGTTTGGTTCTCTGGGCTGGGAGTGCCCATGGCTGGGTCATGTTCAGCCTCTCAGCCAGCAGCACCCCCAAGTTCCTCTGGGCAGGGGTGCTCAAATCTGTTCATCCATAGCCTGTGTTGATATTAGGGATTGCCCTTAACCAGATGTAGGACCTTGGTTGTCTTAAACCTTATGAGATTCCCATTCCCACTTGTCCACATCCTCCTGGATGGCATCCCATCATTCAGGCATGGCTGAACTGCACCACTCAGCTTGGTGTCATCTGCTAATTTGCTGAGGGTGCACTCAATCCCACTATGTCATAAATGAAGATATTAAATAACACCGGTCCAGTATGAATCCCAAGGGACACCATTTGTCCCTGATGTCCACCAGGACTCTGAGCTGTTGACCTCCACCCTCTGGGTGTGACCATCCAACCAATTCCTTATCCACCCAATAACCTAACCATCTATCTCCGGTTTAGAGAGGATTTGGGGAGGACCATGTCAAAGGCAAAATTTAGCAGTTCTTCTAAATTAAGCAGTTCTTCTGAATAGGAAGCATAGAAAACATGCCATCTACCACCTCACATATTCGTGAATTCATAGAAAAGATCCATTACAAACTTGTTTACTGCACCTCTAGAGCACTCTCACTCAGTTCTTTATTCCATGTTAGTACCTGCTGTCTGCACTGCCCCCTGCCCTGCTTTTTAGTGCTCACCATCCTTTAACTTATCCCTTTATCTTTGGTCCTCAAGGCTTATAAGGTTTGTAGTAGGTATGTGAAGCTGTATGACAGAATAAGATCAGAGTCCCTTTTTTGACCACAGTCCTGTCCTCATACAACAGAAGAAACCATGAAAGGTCAAGGATGTGTTCTCAGCAAACAGCTGGACAATCAGGCACTCACAACAATGTCATGCTGCCTTCTCTCCCCCCTTCACATGGGCTCAAAGTTTCACATTTTCTTTCTTCTCTCCCTTTGATTTTTTCCCCTTCCATAAACTAAATTTTGAACATTCAGTTGGCCAGGGCAGCAGATTCCAGAGAGTCTTATTCCAGGCCAAATAGCAATAAAATTCATTTGGCATATTCATCTTATTGGGAAGGCAATAAAATTAAGGATTGCTATTTTGGTATGTCATTCCTCAGTAAGGTACTGATGACTAAAAAAACACCTCCACAAAGCTAGGGAAGCTGAATGCTTCTCACAGCTGACAAGTAATGCTATATGCTTATTATGGTAACTAAGATGTTTGCAGAGCACCTAGAAAGTGCAACTTCCCAGCTCCCATATGTACCAACTCCCTTCCCACTCGTGCTAAACTTGAGAAAAGAACTAAGGAAAGATTAAGATGGGAGAAAAAAAAGCTATCCACCCTTCCCAACTACTGTGACACATATAACAACAGCTGCAAAGCCAAAACACCTGCACAGGAAATTAGTCCCCTGGAATCTCCCTGTTTGCCTTCTCCTGCCAAGCAAGTCTGCCCACAGTCAAGAATGACTGATAATTATTAAATTTGGGTTGAACTGTTTCAATTCCTAAAATTTCCAAAAATATCAGTTTGGTTCAGGTCCCAACAGATGATGAGGTGAAGATGAAAAAAGGAAGAAAAGGCAGGAGGGTGGGTTGATTGCTCAGACACTAAACAGAAAGAAAAACAGGGTACTCACATGCGTTATTTCTCTACCAATCTCAAAGTACAATTTAAGTTTGAAAAGGGGCAACAGTACAGCCCTGTGCTTGCTTTCTGAGCAAGCATCATCCACTCTCCTGCATTCTGAATTTAGCAATGAAAATAAATATTATTTCTGTTAGTAAACAGGGTCTCCAGAGAAGGACTGGATCTGTGCTGGCTCATACATCATCCAACCTGCATGGCTGAGACAACAGAATCTTGTTAGCAGGGTATTGCTCAGAAGGTACCTGATCTTAACTACAGTTTCCAGGGTTATCAACAGTACAAGCAGACTAAGTTAGGAATAAGACTGGCCAAGAACTCTTATCTGTTGTCCTGTTTCTGTATAGTGCTTAGCACAGAGGTCTGTGATAAGGCATAGGAGATGGAGCCATAACACAAGTAACAAACTACATTTGCATGGCAGTATGCTAATCCCACTCATTTGCTCACAAAAACTGTGGCACTTTTGAACAGCTGGGAGAAAATGGATTCCTGAATTTGCTGTAACTCAGTTTTTATTTGTTAGGTTTGTTTGTCAGCTTTTACTGTCATGCAATGAGGAAGAAGAGGCACTTACCTCCTTCCTTGCTGACTCCCAAACACCCTTTCAGCTCCTGAAGCGAGATGGACTTGTCCTTGTTGAGGTCACAGTAGTCAGTGAAACGCCGGGCACATTTCTTGGGCTTGGCTTTCTTCTTCACATAACGTTTGAAAGGCTTTAGCTCCCGCTTGTTGATGTCATTGCTGCTGTTGTTGTCCAGCTGGCTGAAATACCAGTGTACCACTCGCTCCTCTAGTGTGTGGCTGGGGTCTGGCTCAGAGAACCTGGAACAGAGGAAGCACAGGCCCCCGGCAAGGGGGTGCTCTCACCAACATGGTCAAGCACATGCTGAGGAACAAGAGCTGCTCATTGAATAAGACAAGTGCCATGCCGTGTTCAAAGTAAGCAAAAAACACAGGTCTTCCAATCTCCTCCTTTTAGCTGGGCTCTTTTGAGACAGATGAACTTTTTCTAAAAATGTCCTTTAGCATTAACAAGTGAACTGCCAAGAGAATCTTGGAGTCTGATACCATTAGTAGCTGTGGTTCTCCTCACACCAGCTGCTGAAACTGCCTAATCCCAGAATGATCCTCATTAGAGGGCAAGAGACAATCTCCTTGGGCTTTTTGGCCCTTGTGCTCCCATTCGAATCACCAGCAAGAGAGCCATGAGTGTCAGCTGTCGTGGTAGTTTCTGTGACAGTAACATCTAGACTTCAGAAAGGGAACAAATTAATTTAATGCAAGACACATTCATTATTTGAAAATGTCCTTGGCAAGACACAATATTCTTCTCCCTGTATCTGTTTACATAATCTGGACTCCTCTGCTGTATTTTCTGCATTCTTCATGCTTTTCACACACCTGATTTACACACAAGAGTTCCACAGAAGATAAAAGGCACAAATTCATTAAAAGCAGTACTACAGAGCTGGCAACTTCAGTTTGTTTCATTTTTTAATCATTGTGGCATTACAAGTTTGATGCTATTTGACTCACATTTTCCTTCTGTAGACAACAACAATATCAGAGAGGAAAAGAAGAAAAAAAAAGAGGAGCAGCAACAGCTATAGACACACAAATACAGAATGCTGCCTTTCAACATGATGCCATCACTGAACAGGTACTGTTATGTCATACCACTGAAGCAGTGTCTGGTGCTTTGCAGCAGCAGTGGGAAAGGGGATTATCCCTCAGGGATTCTGAGAACCAGGAAAGAAACTTTGTAAGCTAGTCTGTCTTTTCTCCATGTGATGAGTACGCCAACAGAGAAAGCTGAAAAGATGCTGAAATGAGGCTGAGGCCTGAACCTTTTTTTCCTTCCAAGAATAAAGCATATTAGTGCACGGAAATTAGTGGATAGGTAGTCAAACATGCTACATTGGCACTGATTGCTCTGACTTATTCCAGGAGACATATCCAGCTGCTGCATAAATTCCTTCCCCAGGAAGGAGAGAGGAACAGTTGCCTGCTGCAGGCAGCCAGATTCTGGTGTGAGTTTGGGGCATTCTAGCTGATGGAGAAATAAGAACCCAAGTATCCTATAAAATCTTCTCCAAGACTGCTGTTGACCTTGTTTCAGGAACTAGTAGAATCTATACGTATATGGTCACTGAAATTTTTTTTTGTTGGGAACTAGGAGAGAGAAAATTATTTTGACTTTCTGGTGTGACAAGTTTTGCCTTTAAAATGCAGCTACACAGCCTGAAAAATACCCCCTCACACATGCTACCCCTATGGTAAATTAAATCATTTGTGAGGAGGACTCTGCAGCATGCAGAAAGCAAGAACTGGAATTTAAGTGGAAACTGAGATCCTCATTAACCTTTTCTGATGGCTTTTACAAATAAGGATAGAAATTCCAAAGGTAGCCCCTATCCAGAGATACATCAATCCTTGTAACAAGTAAACACACAGAGTACAGAGAGGCAGATAAACTGTGTAACATTTTTCCCAGGGTTTTACTTGAAACTATTTCCTTCATTTAATTCTTAACTGAGAGGCAGGCTGGCATTCAGTCACAGCATCTGGTGAATGTACAATGGGATAAACACTGTGCAGGAGGAAGAAGGGGTTAGGAATAAGTCTGGTTTAGTTTGGGGAACCAAAATACCAGGCAAGCACCAGGAATCACCTATAGACAAGGAAAATTGCAAAATTCCCCCACACACACCTCCCCCCCAGCCCAGAAGTTAAGGAAGTGTTCTGATTTTCTAAACTGTATGCACTGACCAGGATGACAGGAGAGAACAGAAACACATCTGTGTCTTGTTTTTATGACATTTATTAACATAGCTATTGATCTCTCTCCCTTTTGGAAAGAAGCTGGCTGTCATTTGAAGACTAGCATGTTTCCAACAGCCTCAGAGGAGTTCTGTACTGCCAGCAGCAATACTCTGCCTTTGCTGAGATAGAAGAATAAAACCTGAGCTTTTGCATGTGAGATTGCCCTTGTTCACACCTTGGCCTGCCCTCATTTACTGAAGGCCCACAACTGGAGAGGTAGAACTGGAGAAAATAACAGAGCATCTTAGAAACAACAGCAGAAAGACAACAGACAAGAGCTTTTCACTACCTACTGAAGAGGCACTCAGAAGCAGGATTTTAAAGTGCCTCTTTTCCAGGGCCACACCAAGGAGGAGCTTTTGTGAGTTATGAAGAAAGGCAACATGGCTCTCTTCAGCACTTCCACAAAGAAAATGAGGGACATTCACAGGCTAATACAAATACATTGACTCATGAGGTGACAATAAATCAATCTTTGCCATTACAAACAAGCTGAGAGGTCATGCTGAAAACTGCAGCATGCTAATAGAGCTAAAAGGAATTAGTTTAATGGCTGTGACTTTAGGAAAAAGGAAGATACAGCCATTTCTGAGTTTTTACCACTTTCTGTTGGCTGGCTTAGCAGGACTGCAGTTCCTGAGATGGTTGGTTGCCTGCCATCTCTGGTTATAATCCAGAATCCCAGCACAGGAAGCATCCCCATCATCTCAGGGTGGCCATATATCCCTGGCTCATGAAATTCCATGATACACTACAGAAGGATGAAGTTACAGTACTGTATTTAACTACCTTGACTTTGACCACTGCCCGTGAAAGGCGCTTAGGCACCACCCATGAAACATGAATTAATGCAACAACACAGCACTGCTAGGCCACCTAGCTTTGCTGATGTGCCATGGCAGCAGCCTTGCCTGCCGGGTCAGCTCAGACAGGTCTGGGGCTCCAATCGCCCTGTGAGCACAGCCTTGGCAGTATTCCAGGGGATTGTCCCTCCATTTCCTCCTCATACTATTTCAAGAGAAGTAAATCAGCCCTCACATATAAACTTCATTTATTGGGCTACCTCTCATTCAGACCATAAAGGAATCAGAAAAATCAAGACAGAACAAAGCTGTCCTGTACATTCTCAATTTCCAACATCTGTTGCTCCAACACCAATCACACTAAAACCCATTGAATTCCAGTACCTGGCTTTGGTGCTGTAGCAGCTTTGTAAGACACAGTAAGAATCACTAAAATGAAGACAGCCTTCTCATGCTGACTGCATTACAGCTGTACTTACTTTTCTGCCTAATTGTTCCTCTTTAGCACTCTGTGGCAAAACAGTCAGTCCTAAAGAATGAGCACTAGTGAAGAAAGGAGGTCTGTGTAAACTGATTTTCCAAATGTAACCTGCTGTTGCTGGACTGCTTTTGTACAAAAGCCAGCAAGTTTAGCTCAATTAAGCAGCATAAGCCCAGCAATATTCCAACAGTGAAGAAAAGCATGGTCTGTCATTAACAGCCTAAGACAGCAAAACAGCTTTCTTAAAAGTTTGTTGGCATCAAGTATACAGTCTTCTCCAAGTAGGCTCTTGCTCCTCCTTCTGTATAATGTTCTAAGAGCTCCCTCACAGCAGAACATTCATTTCTTAGGTGGCTTATGCTTGGAGGTATGTGTGTTAAGGTACAGCAACTTCTAACAATGCTATCTTCCAGATGAGGCATACTTCCACAGAGTACCTTCACATCATCTGGTGTCACTGAAGAACACAAAGAGGCTGGGCAAAACTATGGACATACACTTTTGTAAGCTGCACTGAATGCTGGATCAGAGAATGACTGCCAAAATATCAAATAGGCAGCTTGAATATGCACTGTGCATGCAATCTGTAATGCTTTTCAGCCCTCGAGGCCCTTGTGAGAAAGGAGCAGTTAGCTCAGTGTGAAGGAGCAGGGAAATAGGGGAGGAATATAGGCTGAAGAATACAAGAGCAGCAAATGTGAGACATGACTCCCCTAAAGAGCCATGTACAGTGTGCAATTACATTATGCTCCACAGAACTGTGCAGTCAAAGGGTAGTATGTGCCATGACATTTTACTAAATAAATTGAAGTCCATTCCTACCAAAGCTGGTCCTTTGCTCCATTTTCAGCCCCACTGCACAGGCTGCAATCTCTGAAGTACCCATCAGGTACCTGTTTGAAGACTTAGAAAATCTATTCTTTTGTACTACAAACTTTATGTAGCAACATCAGCAGCCGAGGCAGAAAGACATAAGGGCAGTAAGATCAGCCCATCACCTAGCTGGACTGCAGAGCCTATAAACCAGAGGGACCTATTCCAGGATGGAAAAACACTGACGGACAAGAAGCTGGTAGCAAATGCTACAGAAAAAATTAATTAGTTCAGCCTTCATTCCCAACATACGCACAAGGTATGTTTGTGGTCTTACTTAGAGCAGTAAGTTTATAAGACTTTTAAATATTTTGCAAGGATATATATACCCTGCTTGGTGCTGCTGCTGAATGAAGAATGGATGGAGAGTGACTGACCCCTCCAGCCAACGCCTGTGACAGCACAGATGGAGACCACCAAAGTGCCAGCACTAAGCAGTAGAAAGCAATGAGTTTAACAAACTGAGGTAAAATTCAAAACTTATCTTGCCCTGCTTCCACTTCTTACTCCCATTTTGTTGTTCTTTGCAATTGCCTAAAGTTAAAATCTGTAACAGTGGAACATGGTTTGAATCAGAGAGGATTATTATAACAGAATTGCAAAAGGATCCTGTATTTGTTTTATTATTCCTCCTTTCCTGTAGCCAAGGAATCAAGAAGCCAACAAAAAACTAAGCTGTGTTCAGACTAAACAAAAGGGTACTACCCAGTCCAAATTAATTATGGGAAATGCATAATTCCTCTACAGTTAAAAGCTATCTCCCCTATTACAGGCCAGTTTCTTTCTCTCTTCAGGCTAAGTTGTACATGCAACATTATTCTGAACACAATTTTTCTGAAGATTGTAGGATAAATAATTTAGAAGGTTAAAAAATTGCCTCCCTTCATTCCTCACTGACTGTTCAAAGACCCTCCTCTTACATTAACTCTCTTGTATCTTTAATTAGGCTAGAATTTCCATAAGAGGACAAAGGGAAGTTGGTATCCAACTTCAATTGAAATGCAATAGGAGTTGAGCATCAACTTCCCTGCGCTGTTTAAAAGTGTCAGTCTTTATTAAAACGTGCATTGGCTTCAGAACACCCTGGAGATGTGCTGAACTGTGCTTGCCTGCTTCAAACTGCTCAACTAGAGCATGAAATGGAACCTCAGGGCCATTTTCTGGAGTACTTTTTGGGGCTATTACATGGGGAATAAGTGGCAACTTTAAATTAAGGGACTAATAGTTGCTGTTTTACATGATAAGGGTGGCTACTGTAAGCTGCCCATTTACCTCAAATTCCACAGGGCAGCAATATTTTTGCTGATAATGTAGCAAGCCATAATGCACAAATTTTGGCAACTAAAACTCATTTCTGAACTGGCAGGGACCAAAGAGAATTTCTCAGATAACAGAAACTCAGGCTGGGATTCCCTATGATCTAGTTTAGTTTAGGCCCTCTGAAATATGACTATATCAGAATTAGAAAAGAGACTAAACTGTACTAAAGCGAAGTCTAAATTTTTAAGTGCTGTTCCTATTATATAGTACTCACTTGTGAAAAATTTCAACAAGGATTTTTTTTCAGAAAGGATACAATGTACTGGCTAATAAACCAATTCTCTACAAGTGCTCCCTTAATTACTTTGAAAACACACAGTAACAAGATGTGTATTGAAGTTATAACATAAACTTAAAATTAAGAATGAATTTTACCAGAGATTTTCTGTTTCAAAACTATAAATGAAGTCTATTTGGCTATTATGCTGTAATATATACCAGGGCCATGAGGAAGGGAAGTTCTCATCTCATTTACATTATTTACATTATTGTAAAGCAAGAGTAACTCAATTAAAGTCAATAGCTTTGAACTTCCTTAAACAAGACAAGACCTATAAGGGATTACAAGGTTGTTTTAAGCATGCCCAGTTTAAAAAAAAGAGTCCTATCAGGTTTTGCTTACATGGCCTGCAAGAATCCAAGCTACCGCCTCACTTTGCTGCTACTACATTGTCTATGGGGGCTACTTAGCACAGCTCTATGTAGTATTTCAAATGCCAATCTCTAATTTCTTCCCATGCTTCTCCCTCATCACCCTCCACTCCCTCCTCCTCCCCCTGCCCCCCTCCCAAAAAAACCCCAAAAGCTAATATGGATATTAATTGCAAAGACACTCGGCAAACACATAAGTTTTCACTCACATATCCAAATTTAGACTGAAGGCAGCAGAGTAATCTAATCTGATTTCCTGTATATCATAGTCACAGAATGTGAATCAAATTATTCTTGGGACCATAACTCAGGTTTGACTAAAGCAAGTCCTTCTGAAACACATCAGGCCTAAGATGAAAGCTTTAGACAGTGGGAATCAGTCACGTCCCTCATGACTTCACTCTGGCTTAGAATTGCCCTCTCTTTAAAGAAATTTCGATCACAAGTTTGTTTATATTCAGTTAATCACGTTCTTCCCTGCTAGACTTAAGAGCCTGCAGAGCCTTTGTCCCTATAGAGATACTCAGATTTTACAAAATGAACTTCCAACTTTTTTTTCTTTCAATACCCTAAGGAAGTCCGAACTCCTTAAGACTCTCACTGTTAAGCTTTTTTGTCCTGACACTTTGGAAAGGCTCTTCTCTTCCTTTGGTCCTTTATTTTAATGTTGATACCAAAGATGTGTACTGTATGCCTCTACGTACTGGGCACACTCTGGCCCATGTTCAGCTGCTGCAGACCAGCTCTCTCAGGTCCTTTTCTGCCAGGCAGCTTTCCAGTCACTCATCCCCCAGCCTGTAGCACTGCCTGGGGCTGTTGTGACCCAAGTGCAGGACCTGGCACTTCCCTTTGCTGAACCTCATACAATGGCCTTGGCCCATGGATCCAGCCTGTCCAGATCCTTCTTGCCCTTCTGCAGGTCAACACTCCCACACAGCACGGTGGGATAAGGGGGCACTCAATCCCCTTGTCCAGGTTGTTGAAGATGGTATTACACAGGGCTGGCTCCAATACTGAGCCCTGGGGAACACCACTTGTGACTGGCCACCAGCCACTCTCTGGGTCCAGCCATTTTTTACCCAGCAAAGAATACACCTGTTCACACCATCAGAAGCCAATTTCTGAAGAGAGAACTCAGGATATTCCTCACCTTGAGACTCTTGAAAAGCAGGACTCACTGCACAGAGACAGCTTCCCAACTCCACAAACCCACATGGAATATGTACTGATAATTTTTTTAATATAAATATCAAAAATTCCCTGAAAGTACTTTTTTAAAAAAATAAAAATGGTCCCATTTTTTCCAACCCCTGTTGGGTTGGAAAAGCTTGACACATGTTCTTTGGGGTACATGCTTAGTCTATCTGAGGCACATGGAAAATTAAACCAGAGCAGTTTTCTGAATTTAATCATGGCTGTGGGCAGGCAGAGTATTTGGGTGGTAGCAGTCTTTTGCCATACCAAGGACAGCCTGCTAAAAGATTTAATTTTCCCCCCTTACAACTGGGCTGCTGACATTGGAGTGGAAAATAAATCAATGTGATGACTGTGTGAAGAGCTGGGCAGTGAAAAATTCCACCAGAAAGGCCTCTATTGAAAGCTGAGAAATACACAAAGCCTGGGGAACATTAGGAAGCAAGCCTGCTGGTTTATAGAAGCGCAGTGGGGGCATACATCTCTGGTCTCTACAACATTGGTTTATATTAAGCTTTATTTTAAGAGTGATGATTACATTGGCTGTGTTTCAGTCCCAGTGCCAAAGATGCCAAATAAATATCAAATACTCTCCAGGGCTTCTTACCACCCCTACCCGGTGCATTTGAACCATGCAAATTAGACAGAATTGACATTGGAATGCCTAAGTCTGGGAGAGAACGATGTATTTCCCATCCTTGGGGCATTTTTCATCCTGTTTATATGAATACAGACATGTTAGGCATACAGCACTAATTCAACGGGTTACAGAATATTCAGCATGCAGGCACACACAGAAGTCACTGGCCTGATTTGTAAGGTCTAAATGCGAAGTTAAAACCATATGAATTCTCTTTTAGTCCATACTGAAGCCAAGGGACACAGCCATGCCACCCAGGACCTTGAATAGTCTTGAGTAGATAAAAGATGGCACTGATTCCTTCTCCATTATGAAAGAGGAAAGCAGGGGATCAACATTACTGTCAACACATTGGAGGAATACCCACAGCAGTAACATTTGTGCAGAGGCACTTCCATCTCCAGACCCTGGGCACATCAGTCATTGTGCCATCCCTGCAAGCTGCCCCAGCACTGACTCCTTTTATAGTCAGGCAAATCCAGACCCACAGGAGCCTTGCCTAGCTGAGGCAGCGTGGCACTTTTTAAATCCACCAGGGTCCGTTCAAAATGGTCTGTCCCGAGGCAGCGCTGCAGGGATCTGCTGTTATCAAGCAGGAGGGGGAGACACAGCCTCAACTTTCCTCCAGTTCCCCAGGAACACAGACTTCTGCCCACCTCTTGCAACAGGCCTGACCTGTTGCTCCTTCCAAAAGGGGTGGCAGCTGGTCAGAGGGGAGGGCCATGGAAAACAGCTCCTCTCCTCATCGGCAGGCTGGCTGCAGCCTCACAGCAAAGCCACAGCGCTGGTGCTGCCAAGAATTTGGTTCACATTCTTCCCTCCCTGTGGTAGCCACTGGGCCACACGGTCTCCTTCAATCCATTTGCATTTTATTAGGTCTTTTCATGCACCAAGGGACAAAAGAACAAGCCACTTCCTCCCACTGTGCTCTCATTTCACACTTCAAATGGGCTATACTAACCTTTATGGTGGAGCAGCTGCCAGGGAGGAGGGGCGGGAGAAAGCTAGCAGAGCTAGGGTGACAGGTCAAAGCAGCCTCAGATCCTCTCCCAGCAATCCAGAGGAACCCAAATCAGTCAGAACAACACCTTTCCCACCTGCCCCCACCTCAGGAGCACCCAGAGCTCTGCAGCCATCTGGGTGGCATTCAGACATGCTTTCTGGACTCACCTCCCACCCCCAGTAGGTGCTGCTGAGTTAATAGCCTGTACCATGTCCGTAGTCAGAGCATCAAGTAAGCTGGTAATAAATTCAACTTTCTTCCCTTCTGGGCAGCCTGCAGAAAGAAAAGAGGAGTTTTAATGCAAGAACACACAGGCTTAGTCTCCTACCCCAACTCAGCAAGGATCAGTCAGAACTTCCTTTGTTTTTAAGACAGCAACAACCATCAACACAGTCCCTAAGGAAAGGCAGAAGAATCCCTCAGTGGGTTTCTCTGTGTGGCAATTTGTCCTGCAGCTTTTGTCCAGGCACATGCAGGGTAATCAACAATATCTGGCAGGAAGACTGTGTGGTTAGCTTTACGGTCTCACCCAGTTCTCTACCAGCAAAACCGCAGGGATGCGCTGGAAGTGCCTGGCAGACGGGAGTTCCCATGGTGACACTTGCAGAGAAGTTTACAAAACAATTCATTACCTCCTGGATCATCTTCTGAGGCAAATGTGGCTGTTCTGAGGCCCTAATTGACAGATTAAAGTATCCCAGAGCACAAGGCAAGGTCTGCTGCTTGCACTCTCCTCTTCAGGCACAGAAAGCACTGCCTGCCAGCGCCTACCACAATAACTCATTCTTCGCATGACCATTCTACATAGGAAATACGTCAAACTGAGCTGGTATGTGGTAGTCACCTCCAGTCACTGCTGGCTTAAGCAGGACAAAAGTGGGTTGCAAATGAGTTTGGTAACCATTTCCATTACTTAGTGCTGAGGCTGTCTATTTCCCCATCATCATAACCACGGACTGACAGAGTCTTCTATCCTAAACAGTGGCAGCCTGTTGCAGTGAAACTCTTCATCTCTTCACCTTTAAAAGGCAATCTATGGTGTTTCCTTGCTGCTTAAAGTAAGCTTCATTTACTACCCTATGAACACTGTGACAACTGTTCTAGTCTGGAACAAGGTAAGGAACAAGGAACCAAGAACAAGAGTGCTTAACTTCAACACACTATTGTAAAAACTGTTGCTCAAAACCCATCACCTGCCATCCAATTGTCTTCTCTTGATGTGACAGAGAGGTCGTCACCATATCCCTCACCTCTTTCCCCAAACCCCCCAAAATACCATGCACTACCAATTATTCAGCTGATTAGGTCAGCAGAGGTCAGCAAACAGCCTCCCACAGCAACATAGAGCAATGTCAACACTTTCTGCTTTTCCTGAACAAGTAAAGAAGAACATGTATCACAAACAGAGCACCGGCAACTTACTGTAATCCCTTGACAGCTGAAAGCAGCTTGCAAACCGATCTGACAAAAGTCCCTCCTTTGCAGTATTACAGGCTCTGTCCTCTGCAATAGCTAACCAACAATCCCTAGCCTGTCTCTGTATTACGTACACTGCACACATGCACACCCCTCAGCAGTCACTTGGCATGTGCTCCAGAAAATGTCAGCATTGTAATGGGTAAGCTGCTATTGCAGCCGGAGTAGACCACTCACTTAAAGGAGCTTTTTGTCGAGGTAATGAAAAGGATGAAGAACTATTTGCTAGAAGTCATCTCCCTGGGCTCCCAGCATCTCACCATCTGCAGGAATTAGCAGTTTGCCATTTGCTATGTATAAGCAACATTTTCCTTCTTTCTTTCTTTTTTACTTTTGGCCACAGCCATGACAGGTTGTGAAGAGAGTATGTGTAGGTGTGCAAGGATCTGAACTTATGTCTTTCCCACCTGGGCCTCTGCAGGGTCTCTTCACTGCCTGCATCACTGAGAGTCTAAAGAATGGGCAAACCTCTACAAGAGGAATAAAGTAAGGGGTCCCCCTGACAGAACTGAGTGCAAATGATGCAATCTGTCTCAAATTAAAGCAGGAATTTTTCTTGACATTCAGTTCTGCTAAGAAATGAGAGCAGGAAAAAAAAAAAAAAAAAGAAACATTCTCTCTCACCCCCTGCAGTTCTGGCTCATCAGTAAATTTTTGCATACAAGAGCAGCTAATCAAACAAACCTCAAGATTGCGTAAGAAGTTCATGCAGCACAGCATTTCTCAGGCAGACAAACCAGGATCAGATCCTCTGTCTCACATCTCTCCATAGACAGGGGTATTTTCAGTGATAGGAATCACAGAATCATGGAATGTGGCTAGGGTTAAAAGGGACCTTAAAGATCATCTAGTTTCAACCCTCCTCCTAGGGGCAGGGATGCCATTCACTAGATCAGGTTGCTCAGGATCCCATCCAATCCAGCCTTAAGCATATCCAGGGATGGGGCACTTAAAACATCTCTGGGCAACAATCATACCAACCAGTACAGCCAAACAGAGCTTGAAGTTTACACAGGTGCAGAAAACTGGCTTGAACTGAGAGGGCAGCTCTCCTGGACTTTGATATTGGGACCAGACTGCTAAGCTACAGAGCGTCCTGTGTCCTCTTCTGCATCAAGCAGTTTCTGTCCCCTTGTCTGGCTTCAGTGGAGAAGGGAAAGGGGAAGGGAAACAAAACCAATCTATCTTCTTGAGATCAGAAATAGAGTCTCAAAGAAAAAGTCAAAGTGCAAAGGATTTTTGCAGAGAATTTCTGAAGAGGCAGGGAAGAAGTGCAAGGATAGATGGTAAAGTAATGGGAGTGGGGGATGTGGAATTAAGGATGTAAGGTTATTCCATTTTAGTGTGATTTCCTAAAGAAATGAGCCTTAATGTAATCCATTTAGCTGGCTTCCCTCCCCCTACCCCACAACATAATATTTGAATCAACTGGTTGATTTCCTTTGAATGTGAAAGGAAGGCAATAGGAAATTTTTACATGACTTGTGAAAATGAGGAGCTGCATAGAAGAGAGCCCTGCTGAAGGCAGAGTTGCTGAGCAGAAAGGTCTGGGGTCTGAAGTCAGGAGCCAGCAGGACCACAATTAGGAGACACACAAAGCAGATCTGGAACAAGTCTCATTTCCTTTGCTAACCTGCTCAGGAACAACGCACTTTATGCTACCCACAGAACGTTAAGCTGATCCAGAGTAACCAGCTATTTGTGCAGAATTAGTGGTGTCCACCACCCCCTCATGGTGCAGAGGGATCCACTGTAGCTTGTGTTTTCAAGCAGTCTCCACCCAGGAGAGCAATGGTTGACCTGTCAGTGAAGGCCCCTCACTCTGCTCCTTAGAAGGAAGCCAGAAGGAAAATACAGAGCACAGGCAGGTGGGATAGCATTTTTAAGAGCTGCACTAACACCAATGCCCAGCACATGTTCCTAGCAGAAAAAACATAGGCAAACAGCAAATTATGCTTGCCACTCTGTTAAGAGGGAAAAACAGAATATAAAACAAGGAGCAGTAGGAAATAAAACATATCCCAGGCAGAAAAGGAGGAATAAAGTCCAGCTAAGTGAGAAGCCACCATTAGCACACTGTGAGGGTTGTCCTGCCTGGTCCATGCAGCCACTGTAAGGGAGGAAATCAGTCCACTGACAATTGGCAGTTGTGTCCTCTTCTGTGACTCAGGGAGCATCAAGCTGCTGAAAAACCCTGCTAAACAGAAAGGATCTTGTCCTGGTCAGGCTTTAAGGAACATTCAGTGCTGAGCCTATTCTTCCTCCAGGATATCTCCAGGCATCCTGGTTTCTCTGCAGAAAATTCTAATCCCAGAAATGTTTTCAAAGGGCAGAGAGGCAATAAACATACTCAGGACAGACCCAGCCTTTTCCAGTTCACTGCTGAAACTGAAGGTGTTCTTAAAAAAACCCACAGAATAAACCCTATGGTAAAGCATGCTCTGTGAGGAAAATCCCCTAGCTCCTCAACAATATTCTTGGCCCCTTAAGAGGCCCACGGTGAGACAAGGCAAGAAGGCAGAGACAGGATCTTGGTCCTCTAACCTGGAAGTTCCCTGTCCTTGAAGGGATCATCAATCTCTGTGCTCTTCGATCTGGCATCACTTTCACACACTGGGGTCTCATACCTGAAAAAGGAGAACAGCAGAGGCTAAACTATGTAACATAGTTTTAGTGTCATCACACAGTGAATAATCACAGACTATTCTGAGCTGGAGGGGACCAGCAAGGATCATCGAGTCCAGCTCTTAAGTCAGTGGCCAATACAGGGATCAAATCCACAACCAGACCATCATTAGCACTATGCTTTGACCAACTGAGCTAATCTCAGGGTCAATGGCTTGTGCCTTGTCTGCTCACTGCAGGGGAAACCAATAAACCTCCAGAAGAAATACCACTCTCAAGCACCTGACTGTTTATGCACAGTCAGCAACAGCAGCAGAAGTGGAAGAAGTAAAAAGAGAGAGAAGAACTTACTTTGAAGTCCAGACCAGCTATCAACTGAAACCCAAAAACAGCACAGGGCCCTCTTCCAATTCTTGTGGGTATAGGCTGAAATGTTTTTTCAAAGCTGTCCATGCTTTGCAGAATCACTATATCTAGCTAAGTTTAAGTCCCAGCTCTTACTGGCCTGTTTTTGCAACTTGCCAGACCCACAATTTGTTCCCGAACTCCAAGTGAGAAAAGATTCCTCAGGTAGTTTCAAGGTAGAGAGTGACTGAAAAAAAAAAAACCTATCTCTGGTTTAAAATCTACCCATGCACAACAAGCAGTCTTCTAATTCCCTACTGGTCAGGATTCAAGTGACTGCAACATGGAAGTATAAAGCAGATGATAATGCAACAGACACTTGTCTTTTCACTGCTCATGCCCATAATCTATACTCTTAAGCCAAGCCCCCATTCCTTCTACTTCATAAAAGCAAGGCAGAAGAAAAAAAGGCTGCTTTGCATGAATACTTAACACAGGGAAAAGTATGGACATTAGTTAATATCCACCAACTCCTACAGAGAGGGAGCTGCATAGTAACACTCAACAGGGAACATCGTGTACAGCATTGCTTGCTCTAGGGAAAGCAGTGTAGAGCTGACTGCTCCAGAGTGAGCAACTGGTTTCATATTGCAGTAGTATTTTTTATATCTCATCTTCACCAGCCAGGCACCTGCCCAGGCCTGCCTGTAGCTCTCACCGTGTGGAAGTACCAGGCAGGGGACGTCCCGTGTCCACCAGGACACACCAGCAGTACCCAGTCGACTGGTGGCATTGCACTGGTTTGTAAAGTCCTCCAGGAGCGCACTCGGGGATGACGATACCCTCCCGGGGGTTCTGCCTGGCCTCCTCCAAGGCGCTCTGCCTCTCCTGGTCACAGGAGTGAACTTTTTCTGGAAGACAGAAGTGAGGGTGGAGAGGGTGGAAAAAGAATCAAATCAAGATCACTTTGCTCAGGTCAGCAGGGTGTGGGTATCCTTCACATCAGGAACCCTTTGTGTCTGTTTCCTTCTCATCAAACATCAGTATGTCTACATCCTCACAGGGACTGAGGGACTTCTGAGTTCAGAACTTTCTCCTATATTTAGCTGTGACACAACAAGATTGTGGACTAAAGACATTGACTGCCGGGTGCTCAGGATGCCAGAAACAGCAGAAAAAACTCTTCTTGATCACTTGGGTTTTGGAAATGAACTGTCAGGTAAAAATAATTCACTATTAATGCAGCCATGAGGTAAGCATTTCCCAGATTGTTTTTACAAGTTGAGAGATTCTAAACTGTGACTTGTATTTTCCAGTTAAACAAAGGACACAAACACCCTGCCCTGCCCCTCCGTCTCTTTCTCCAGACTGCAAAACACTCCTCCCCCTCAATACCACCTCTCCAACATGATCCCAAGAGAAGCAGGTTATGTTTTAACACAGCTTTATCCAGTGCAGACAGCATCTGCACACACCTCAGCAGGGAACAGAATGTGATATCCCACTCGACCCCCACTGCCATCACCTCTCCAGCACTCTCCACTGTTGTCCTCACCTGGCAAACACGGGGCACCCAACACCGCTTTCTGCTGAGCAGCAGGTAAGGCCCTGTGCCTTAAGAACCTATTACACAGGAAAAGCTATTTCCAAAGACTGTCAAAGAGTACAGTAGTGGCATGCACCAAAGAACAGGAAGAAGCCCAGAAGCAGCTCCTGCAGCCAGCCTGGCACACAGAGCCCAAGCACTGCCTGCAAAGGAGTGTAGGGTGCAGGCACAGTGCCAAGCTGCTGCCTCTCACATGGACCATCTAAGGGGGAAGAGAAGCGCAGAGCACCTCCACAACGATAAGACTTATTTGGCTCAACTGCCAGAAATTCTCAATTATAAGTCTTCAGGTATTCTGTCCTTTTGACAAGCAGAAAAATTATTTCAACTTTGTAAACTACTGAAAGTATCACACTGAGGAAAACAAAGCAATCAAGACAGCTGAAAACACATCCTAGGGTAACAAAAGACAACACTCTAACTTTTATCCTTAGGAGAGTGATGAAAAACAAGCAGGAGAAACAGCTGTCCTCTTCTTCCCTAGCCTTCCTCTCCCCTGCAGTTTACTGTGGTTTTAATTTTATTTTTATAAATAGGCCACAAGATCTGTCATTCCTTGCCACGAGTCACCTCAAGCCTTCGATACATAAAAAGCTCCCACTGACCAGCAATGACATCATAGGTTCACCCCAGATCTGTAGATATTTGCATCATCAGCCAACAGACATGGCATAACCTCAGCATCCTGCTCCTGTGACTGGCTCAGCACACAACCAACATGTGCTCAGGTTCCTTCTGTTTTGTCTGCCATTAGTTATATCTTGCATTTTGGTGATAAATTATATTGTGGAGAGAGTAAGTTTTGTTCCATATTTGGGGAACAGTAAGGGTGCCAATTTACAGCTGGTAACAGCAGACACAAGAAACTCCAGCAGGTCTGCAGCTGCATCACCTGAGTACAGCATGCCTGGGAACCAGAAACATTTTTACTGGTTTCTAATGGAACTGCAGCATCTGAAAGAGTCTCAGAGACCCCAGAATGTCTCACTCTCCTCAGCACTTCAGATCACTGTCAAGGCTGGGAATGTGAAGGGCACCTGAACTTTGCCACATACAAATCCATACAATAGAAACACAGAATTAAGTGTTGGTAAGTCTGACTCAAGCAGAGAGAAACTTGACTGGGCAGGAGCAGGAGGGGATAAAGTCAACAAAAACTGAAAGGGAACCCAAGCCTCAGCTGATATTTAAGCTGGCTTCACTTTGCTGACAGATTTCACATCTGAGAAGAAAGAAAAAAAAAAAAAAAGGAAAAATAAAAAGAAGACTGTTCCCAAGATGTACATGGACAGAGAAGTCACTGAGCCAGAGGTCTGCCAGCTCCCTAACAAGCCACTGACATCAAAGTGCCCCACTTATCCAGTCTGCTGACAGCAATTCTCCTCCTGGCCATCAGGTGAGGCAAATCATTCAGGCAGCTTGGGGGAAGCAAAAAAGCAGGGGCAAAATTCTCTATCATCATTATATTACAAGTAAAAGGAAGAAAAACTTCTGCTAAAGAGAACTACATTCCAGGAATTTTTCTATCTAAATCCCAAAAGCTTCCCAAGTGCACAAAGTCAAACCAAGATTTCTCAAGTCCTTTGAGTCTTGCAAAACTCTCAGTAAAATTACTGTGAAAAAAATAAAGTATGTGCTAGAAAAAAGAAATAAGCCACTTTCATTGAAATAAAGAGAAAAAATAATAAATTTCTTTAATTAATTAGTATGTTATTTTACATACATTTGCAGTTAGGTATGCAAATTACACAGAATAAATCTACATATTTACACATCTGTGCTATGGCATAAAAAAATGGAAAAAATTCTCTGCACATATTAACAGACATTTGTGGGAACTGAATAGTCACATTTACTACCAGAATACAAAACTAACTGGTAGCTGTTTCTGTTTGAAGGCTGTTTGAAGGCGGAGTGAAACAAATCTTAGAGGCTTTGTTCAGTTGTTATCAGACAGATGTAATGATGCAGACTCTGTCACCAGCATTCAGTAGCCCATCATTAACAATGACAGTGGTACAGCTGAAGCATCAGGGATCATACTTTACTCAGTTCTAATGTACATCTAGAAGTAGCTGCTGTGGAAGTCCTCCCTGCTTTACAGATCTCTACTTCGTCTTATTTACATGACGGAGAGTCCCACATGGCACAGTCCTTCTCTGAACCCCTTCCAGATCCACCAAGCCTTCCCTGAGCTGGAGGGGATCAGAATAGCAAACACATTGAGTCTGACAACAGCCTTGTGGAAATTTTCTTCAGTGACATCTGTCTGCTAAGCAGAATGTATTAACTAGCACTAGTTCCCGAAGAGACTCTCTCCTCCAGGCTACCACTCTAACAGCACTTAATTCCCTTAAAAAAAAACATTCATATTAACAGTTGGGTATTCAAAAGGCAGCAAAATCAGCTGGAAAATCCACACCATCAGTTTCCCTAGTCTGGGACTTGGCATGAACTGCATGCAGTGTCACCCTGAAAGATTGTCTCATGGGTAACAAAGAGCTCATCAAATGCTATCCCAGCTCCAGGACACTGAAGTCCTCCTGTTCCAGTCAAACTGCTTACTGGAAACTTTGCTGTTGTTGCCAAGGCCAGGTTAATGGAGAATAGAGAAAGCCTATGGCAAAGCTAGAAAGTTTAATGCCAGCTATGAAATTAAGCTGTCATCTTAGAAACCAGCATATATTTATTATACATGCAGGGTACTTAAAAGCCTATTCCTTGTTAATGGAAGTTGCAGGCAGAGAAAGAAAGGTTTTCCTTCTTTGCCTAAACTAAACTTTTCTCAGAGAAAGAACATTTAAGACAGCAAGTCAGTGGGACACAGTCTTCCTAGAACAAATAATAATATTATACCTATTTAATTATTTATTTTAAAGGTGCTGTCACATTCCACTGTTTTCTGCCATCTTTGCTTTGACTTGACCATCAGCAAAGAAACCAAGTAACACTTGCCAACTTGCTGCTGCTGGGGAGTGAAACCTTTGTGAGGCAGCAAACATAGATTAAAAAAACCAAATTACAGGAAAAAAACCCAACAGGGAATGTATTCATACACAAAGAGAAGAGTCATAGGCAGAAATATCCATTTTACCTCAACTGCTCAGCTCTAAAATGCTAACTGTTCCTTCCTACTCTTGACTGCTTCGACTACTCATTAAAACATACTTTTAAAGTAGTGTCTCTGAAGCCATGAGCTATGGCAGGAAAACAGGGCTTGGACATCTGCAGTTGCACATTATTTATTCAACAATTTTGCCCTAGTAATGGCCTTCTGAGGAATACTTGGCCAGATAATTAAAACATCTCTCATTCCTTGTCCCTTAAGTACACACATTCAAACATACATTTAATGCCTGCACAATAAAAATCAAAATTATGGACAAAGTAAGGGACTTGTCTGACTGTGTAATAAACTGTATGGTTATTAAAGAGATGGGGCGCTTGTTTACCCTACAAAGCTGAGAAGAGAGGTGTCTAGTAGCATCCAGCCAAAGGCTTGTGCTTAGCAGTTCTCATGCTCACCTTGCAGGGCTATGTGCAGCCACAGGGGATGAGGCAGCCTTCCCCAGCTGCTCTCCTGACATGGAACAACTCTCATTGCCACCAAAGCCAAGGCACCAAGGCATTCACCATGGCTGTGAAGATACTGTGGCTAATTATGGTGGGACATAGGGAACATCTGCCATCCAAACACAGCAGATTATTTTTTGAACTTTGGTCTTCTGCACCCAAATATTTTCTCATAAAAAGAAGAGGGAGACTGCAGCACCAAAACCAACAACCTTGGAGAGATTCCTACACCCTTAAGAGACAGGATTCTTTCTTCCAAATCAGGCAAAAGAGAGAGGGTCTAACCTCCCTCTGTGCTTCTGCCCAGCCCAAATGAACCCATGTGAACAGCCTAACCCCAGAGCTACAGGCTGTACCAGGCATGGCAGATTTTCTTCTCTTTTTCTCTCTCTCTCTCCCTCATTTCTTTTGACCAGAAATTCTGTCTGGACCAGCAAAACTTTCCCATGGAATTCCCACAAAAAGCTTTAGTTTTAATGAACAAGCATTCATCACAAGGGGAGGAAAAGGTCTTTTAGAAGAAGAATTCTTGACCAATCCCCATTGTTAGTGCTGCAACGGGGACCTCATTTCAAAAAACCATTAAAAAAAAAACTTCAAACACATCTCCCCCAAATTTTTTTTGTGCAACTCCCAACTTTCCTCTCAGTGAGACATTAGTGCAGCATAGAACAAAGGGGAGCAGCATGGATATCTAGTGCCAAGTTCCTATTGACCTCCTGTGCCAACCCA